CTTTCAAACTACATACTTGACAACTAGGAGATCAAAGAAAGCTGTAACGGGCCATGAACATTCAAATCCCACAAGCGTTTTAATATGTTTGGGCGGCCATATCTCTGACATGGAACAATAAAAGTCCAAAAAGGTAGCATATTCCCTTGGAGTCTACATATGTTTTAGACTCCATCATATGTAGCCTTTGTCAAATCGCTGCAAATGATATTGTGCACTGTTCTTAAACTTCGAAGGTTAAACCTTTATTTTGGATCTATCCCATTACCTGTAAATAGTCAGTAAACAAGAAAATCACCGTGTTTTGAGATGTCGGCCTGCAACCCATCATCATCCACTGGGCCTGGATGACATGGATAGACGTACTCGCTCATTCACCGCCGCTTGAGGCATTTTTGGCGCCTTGGTCTATGCGGTTGCCAGATATAATGAGACGGGCTAGCCCGGTGCGCGCGGAAGGGCCAAGCCGGAAGCGAGGAAGGTGTGTTTGATCATGGAGGAAGGGGTGTTTTTCGTGTGGTGGATTGCAGAAGTTTTTTTTGAATTTGGATGGGAGTGCCTTAGATAAAGAACAACCAACTGATTACCGGTTTGGCACCAAACGTGATAAGCAGGGAAAGACGCGAAAGGGTCTTGAAGGACGTTTCACGAAACACAGATCAAGCCATTGGCCATTGTCCTAAATCCAATCACTTTGTACTTGGTACTTTGGGAACATCCTTTAGAACCCGCATTTACTGCGCAAAGTAAGGTTCTTTAAGCAGAAGACCTGCCGACCTGCCGGTTAAGAGATGGATGGTTTATTTTATTGACCATTTATATATGGTTATTTAAAACAAGAAAAACGTATCATCCAGCACCTTGTGTAGTCTTCCAGGTCAAACACATCGTTCTCTCCCAAACCGAAGAAGCGAAGAACCCGGCCATGCCGTGCTCGGCGCCGCCCCGGCGCCGCTCCTCCCGCTGTGTCACGGGTCCCCTGCTGGGCCGCCTGTTGGGCGAAGAACGGCGGGAGTCTGGGCGTGGGTGGATCCACTAACGTGAGCGGCTGTTCCAAACGCCTCATGGGCACGTTAGTAGAAGAAGCTACCTAGGTTGGAGGCCATCGCAAGTAGGTTGGAGGCCATCGCAAGTAGGTTGGAGGCCATTGCTATTAGGAGCAAGAAGCTACTAGGTCACCTACTGGCACCATTGGGAAGATAGAACTCCACAGTCGGTGAATCCACCCCATCGGTCGGGGTCCGGAGGGTGGCGACGGCCGCATATTGATCGAGGGTTGATCCCATGACAACAAGATCACCAGGCTTTGTTTCACTTCGAATCAATCAGAAGAATGAAACCAGGATTCTAATACATATAATCAATCAATCAAACCAGGACTTTAAGACCTAAAACACTGCAGACTGCAGATCCACATCTCAGGCTCAGGTGTTGATCCCATTATACAAGCACAGAAAAGATTGATCGGATGTTTCCGGTAGGCCTTTGTCCCCGTTCTCAGAGGTTCGCCTTTGCGTGTTCAGCTTCAGTGAATTTTGGCTCATGTAAAGGTGCGAATGGTCATGAACGTATGTATACTGTATGTATGTATGTATATATATATGTAGTCCTGTTGTGGTTGTTCGCTAGATGTGTTTTCTTTTGCAGGAACAGGTAGCTTACTGGAATATAAGTTACGCTATGGCATGGAGCAGTCTGTTCAAAAGGCTTGGGTGCCATCTCAGGTACCGATGAGAAGGGTCTAGGGAGCTAAAGCTAGACTGGAGCACTGGTGTGAAACACCCCCTCGGTCTGAAAGACCATATAGTATCTATTCAATGAATTTGAAAAGCATTGTTGGGTATAGACTGGAGGGATTAGAAAAATGATCACAAACCAAAGATCAATTGTTTCGAGAGCAAGACATGTCGGATCACAATCTTCAGAGTGATCTGGAAACATGGATGAGCCCTCGTGTTTCCTGTTTTTTTTCTTGGCGATTTCAACGCTTTTCTAACCCAAAGTGGTTGTGGAGAGCAGCTGAACAAATAGCACGAACGCAGCTGAAGGAAGGCAGAGCAGAGCTACACAGAATGAGAGCTTTGGAGCAGTTAACACAACATATTGCCAGTGTTTGAATCCGTTTAGGGCCTGTTTCGGGCATTTCTCAAACCTGGCAAGACCCTTTGATTCATTTGGAGGTAGATGGTTGTGGGTTGGTGCATCAACAGCTAGAGAAGGTCTCTCACACCGGCCTTGCTGCCTTCCCCTTGTGGGCTTGGCACTTCGAATGTTTTCAGCCTTGACCCTTTAAGATATCGTTAAGACGTGCTGTGTCGGTGTGCAAGCTGGTTTAGTTTCACGTGCAAACGGAATAGATAGCCACTTTACTGAAAAGTATCAACAGCAGCCAGGGTGCTTATGCTTACTCGGCTTTCTTTTCAAGCTGAACTTGGGTACCTTTGTGGTTTGGCCAGCACCAGCCTCTTGCAGCCTTTCTGGACAGCAGAGGGGGCTGCAGCCTTCTGGATGTACCTACAGGAGCAATTTCAAAAGAGGTATTTGGACTCCTATGGGCCAAAACTTAAAGGACTCTACCTTTAGGCAACTAGACTAGAGCACTTACCAGGCCGGTGTGGTTGAGGCGGTTCACTCATTTTGGTTTGACATCCGCACCCAGCGGGTGCGCATGCCTGAGCCTTTGAGCCCACAACCCGCATTCCGTGTGGTGCTAGTCAGATGCGAAGACGCAGATTCGATTGAGGAAGCGTGATGAGTTGCGTCAGCTGCTATGGAGCTGCTGCTCTCCATTGGTCTAGTTGAATGTTCTGACACGGAGAACGAATGATTCGCAGTCAAGATGTTGAGACAGTGAGACAAAGGAAAGGAATGTAGAAAGCAGACCGTCTAGGAGTCGAGGTTGGCACAAGGATCTGCTGAGAGGGAGTGCTTTATATAGTCTCCGAGACATCTGGGCCCATGTGCTTTGCTCATGGCCGCCATGGACCCCTGTGGCACCTCTCTCTTTGGCACAGAGTTTGGCCGGAAGGGTTTGCTTCCAGACGACCAGATCATTCCTAAGCGACGGATGTCCTGCCGAGTGACTTTGGGATGTATGTGTTACCCAGACGCTCCATGTGTGTAATATATGCCTACTGTACATTGGGGTGGTGCCAGGGGGGTCAATTGATCGGCATATATGGCATACATGGAGTGTCTGGGTTATGTCACTTCCTTTGCAGTGAAGCTTCACCTCTCACGTCTTCCGATCAGATGCGGCTTACGAAGTGTCCCAACCGCACGACGTGATCAGGGTTGGTCTGATCCTTTTGACAGGTCTCACAGAGCTGCACTTGTCTTCTACAAGAAGCCTCCAACATAGGATCAATGATAGAGAGTTTGGGGAACATGTTCTACAGTTCTACCATTTGTTGGTGTGGAGGTGTCGGTCAACCTCGAAGAAGGTGAAGACGGAATGCCGGAAGCGATTAATCTGGGGTGGTTGGCGTTCAATTCCAGCACATTGGCCGAGCTTTTCTGCGAGTCGATCCTGCTTGCGATCAGCTAGACTGTTGGTCAGCTGACTAGGTGGCCGGGTCTTCTTTCGGCATGCAGCGTGGAAAAGAGCGACTGGGCCATCATCCCCGGTGGGAGATCGCGGCCGTGTGTTGGGTTCGAGTCCAGGAGAGTGTAGGTACAGGAAGCAAGTGCTTTCGGGATGCCAAGACCCACCCAGAGTCACCATGAACCTTCAGTTTCAGAGGTTTCTGGCTTCGCCGCCAGAGCCCGAACTCTTCCAATGACCCAGTGACCCTAAATCCCACCCGGTACCAGGGGAAACCATCAAACACCTGGTTTTTGCAGCAAAAAGCATGGTTTTTGTATGTGAACACCTTTGCTTATCTTTGCTTTTCATGGTTTGCTTCGGGCGCCTGGTAGTCATTCTTCACGTCACCAGTTCGGGGTAGCGTTGAGTCCAATCTCGCATGTTTGAGGCAGAAGGGACTGGAGGCTCCAAATTCTCTCTTCCCCTCCAGTGGACCGTCATGGAACTCACACCGCGGCAGGGTTTGGAGGGTTTGGCAGGTTTGGTCGATCAAGGTCCGTGCAGGTCTTGACCGGGTGGTTCACGGTGGGTGCGAGCCAAACGGGGCCTCCAGTGGGTGTCCTCCCAAAAGCCGGCTGCAGCATCAGAAAAGACCCACCAAGAAACGGTGTTTTTCCCCATGGATTTTGAATTTTCGTCTCACAAACTCAAGATTTGGAGTCAAACCCAGTAACCTGCTCATGAACATCCTCGACAGGGGGATCGTTGTCCGAGCCATTTGAGATCCATTCTGATCCATGACTCGCATGACCGGAATTGGATGCCGGGTGATTCCGGATCGGGTAGTTCCTACAGATGATCCTATATGACAGGGTAGTTCCGTCTCTTCCGGCACGCTGGGACTCGCGTGCCCAATCCACGTGGAGTGAGGCTCCCCTGGTTTCGGACAAGTGTTCTTCCTAGGACGGGAGCGTCTTGCCATCCACTTCGACCAATGTGATGTCTTCGAAAAAGAGTGTAATTACTACCATATGTATACCTGGAGCCTGAGTGACCCATCAAAACCAATCAAAACACAGGTCAGTCAGGCTCAGGTATAGTCCAGAATAGTCCAGAAACCACTTTGAGAACCCTCCATCCATTCCTTTCGTTGACCCCGACACCCGTGGCGAAACGGAGAGCGAAGCAACGATCCCCGGTGCGAAACGACGCAACAGATCCGGCACCGGGTGTTTTCCGGTCGAAGCAACGAGTGGAGTGTCTGGAGAACTGGTTTTGGAAGGCTGGAAAGAGAGTGGTTTTGGAGGTGCTGTGGGAAACTCCGAACGTCATCATCTGGAACTTGAGCTTCCGAACTCGACCGTCATAGCCATCTCCAAAAACTCTGGGTTACATGGCGAACACCAAACCGACGCCCAACCGTCAAGATCCGTCAAGCTTCGCCGCTGCTGCGCACTGCTGCGCACGGCTGCAGGACCTGAACCTGTGCAGCAGTGAGCCGCGGTCCTTCACCTTGCCCGGCGGTATGGGGAGCTTCTGAATGAACCCAAAAAGATGTGCCGCATGCGGACCGCCGGGCGTGAGCCGCGCGCAGCGACGCGGAGCAAGTGCCTTCTTTTTGTTGGGGGCAGGCAGAGGATGTGTTGTTTTGTTGCGGTGTGCGAACAATGGGGAGAATCCAGCTTTTCGCCCAAGGATATTGAGTTGTTGTTCATGGTGGTCGAAACTGTCAAGAGCCGGTCATTCTTCCACTGACTATCATGCAACGGCTTCGCTGAGGCACTACTAAACCATACAGGCTGGAGAGGCAACGCGCTGCCTGGCCCGGGGAAGATGAGCTTTTACATGCTTTTACCAAACAAGGGGCGGGAAACAAATCTTTGGAAGACCACGTGTAGTAACGTGTCCATCTGAAGATTGTAATTACCGCACCGATGGAGGGGTTCATGATGGATCTCTAGTATATCTCGCTTGAAGTGGGGAGACAGAGTCCCTAACCAAGACTTTTGAGGTTATATATATCGTTTTTCAGGAGGTGTAGAGGGTCTCTCTCTTTACAAGCATCGAAAAAAGTTGTCGCCTACAAGACTGGTGCTTTGCGGGGACATAAAACGATGTATTGTCGAAAGCCTCAACCAAAGCGAAGACGAGAACGTGTTCTTCTTCACCCCCTGGTTGAACCTCGATCATGATCCGTATCCCGGATTTGTTGTGGTGCCTATGCCTTGCGTTCTTGGACACCACCGTCCAGGACAGGGAGTCAGTTCCCAGACACGACCCGTAGACGGGACTGCCAATACCGATCAGTTGGGGTGGTGCCGGGGGGGTCAATGGGGCGGCAGTCCGGACTGCCAGTCCCATGGAGTGTATGGGGTTCTACAAGTTGGAGACGTGTGTCTTTTTTCCGCTGGTCTGTCTTAGCGCCGAAGGTCTTCGAGTTGGGCATCCCACCCACGACCGTCCCGGTCGACGACTTGGACCCCCTCCCCTCCAGGCCACCCCCCCTCCCTGGCTTCCCCTGGCTCCAAGCGAGCCAGGTCTCCCATGGTCTCTCATGGTCTCCAACGTCTCATCCCATGTAGGCCAAGAGAGGTTTTCGAGACCAGAACTAGGACCTATGGCTGTGGTGCATATGGGATGGGCGCTAGGATGGGCTGTTCAACCTTTGTTGGGGCGTTTGATCATCCCCCGTCTCATTCCCCCAATGGCTGTGGTGCCCTTGACCGATGCCCCAGGCAGATTGACTCCCAGTCTCGCCAGGTATCGTGCCCCGAAGGCCTTGTACAATGACACTTACGTGCGGCCGGCCATGTTGTTTTTTCTTTTTGTGCCCCTGGATGACGTCCCAGAAGGGATGATTTGCAGGGAGCTTTGTTACTGAATATCAAAACACATATAGATATATTGGATGTTATTGTTCATTTCTCAGTTTTCTTGAATGAGAATAATGCATGTTCCCACTTTGTTTTCTTCCATTTTGTGGTTACCTTTGGGCCAAGATCTTCGGGGGCCACCGCTGTGTCCTCGAGGAAGCGCCGCGGAACAAACACCCATCGATCCGTCGGAAGATGTGGTGAACATCCGGGTGACCGGGTGTCATCGGCGAAGGGAATCGATTTGGGTGTTTTTTGCTGGATGAATTCGATGCTTCAAACAGATAGTGTTAACCGATTTGTTTAGAGAATCTATCACACAACCAATCAGCTTACATACAGCGGTTTCAGAATAGATGGCACACACCCGTACTGTACATGTTTTTTAGATCAGGGGGTCCACAGAAACCACCTCTTGGGCATCTTGGGGATTGTCTACTCTCCATCCACTCTTCTTTCAGCTGAAAATGACCGGGATACACTATCCACCCCAAGGGAAGAAGACACGCACATTTTGTTGACACTTGCGCATGGAAACGGCGGTTGCCACAGCGTGACCTGTTGGTTGGTTTCTTTGAGCCGTATCTCAAGCTCGGGAAACTGTTGATCCTACTACTGTAAGAGTCCAGGAATAGTCATTGAAGTTCCAAGAGTCTTCCGGAGCAGTTTGTCCTCAAAATCCGTGGGTTTTCCACGCGGGCTTTACCCTTGATCTCCTGCTCGTCTCCCTGCCTGGACCATGGGTCTCTGAGCGTCGACCGGGGTCGTCCAGCTTCGGCGGCGAGCCTGCGCGCTGGCTCAAGCAGAGGCTTTTTTCGGAAGATCAGATGAAGAAGGCAAACGATCGAACTGAACTGAAGTATTCTGTTGTGATCAACGGCACCCCTCAAGATCCGCTCCTTTGAGTAGTTGTAGTAGCGTGTAGTAGTTTTAGTAGTGGATTTGGGGATTTTATGTGATTTTAATGTCCCCAGAAGAGGTCAATGTGGCAAGTGATGACAACGAAGACCTTCTCGGTGTGAGTGAGTGCTGACCAATTCGCTCCTCGCCAACCCCAACCCAACCAGGTAGTATGTTTGCAACTCAACTAGACGACGAGTGGCCCGAAAGCATTTTTCATCACGTAGGAAGTCAGAGTGCGAGTTATCCGGTAAGTGTGCAGTGAGAAGTGTGAAGTCGAGTGAGTTGAGGTAGTGTGTGGGTTTCTGTGCGTGTGTCTATGTCCGTGTGGAAATGAGTCTGCGTATGTGTGTGTTCGTGTAAGTTGAGGGAGTGTGTGGGTGTCTGTGTGTGATGCGGCCTCCCAAACCCCCCACCGGCGGCCAAGCGGTGACAGCCCAGCTCATCGTCGTGAGCATTTGGGCTGCTGGTAAGGGGACAATGGCAGCCAGCGTGCTGGCTTACCCACTTCAACTATGATGGTACTGGCTTTGCCATCTCAACAATGGCAGCCAGCGTGCTGGCTCATACCCACTTCAACTACGATGGCAGCCAGCGTGCTGGCTTTGCCATCTGGACAATGGCAGCCAGCGTGCTGGCTTACCCACTTCAACTATGTAGTAGCCAGCGTGCTGGCCTTGCCATCTCAACAATGGCAGCCAGCGTGCTGCCTTACCCACTTCAACTATGATGGTAGCCAGCGTGCTGGCTCATACCCACTTCAACTATGATGGCAGCCAGCGTGCTGGCTTACCCACTTCAACTATGATGCTAGCCAGCGTGCTGGCTTTGCCATCTCAACAATGGCAGCCAGCGTGCTGGCTTACCCACTGCAACTATGATGGTAGCCAGCGTGCTGGCTTTCCATCTGGACAATGGCAGCCAGCAAGCTGGCTTCCACTGCCTGTTATCAAAGGCACGTGTTACTTGTACTACCAAGTCGCCAGTTCTCATCTTCCAGCTCCCCAGCTACTCCGCGCACTACAGTTATATACTACACCGTCGCCAATTCGCAGCCACTACCCACTCGCCAGTTCTCCTCTTCCCATTCCCCAGCTACTCTGCGTACTAAAGTTGTACTACCAAGTCGCCAGTTCTCATCTTCCCAGTCCCCAGCTACTCTGCGTACTAAAGTTGTACTACCAGGTCGCCAGTTCTCATCTTCCAGCTCCCCACCTACTCCGCATACTAAGGTTGTACTACAAACTCGCCAGTTCTCATCTTCCCACTCCCCAGCTACTCTGCGTACTAAAGTTGTAGTACCAACTCGCCACTTCTCATCTTCCAGCTCCCCCGCTACTCCGCGCACCACTAAAGTTGTACTACAAAGTCGCCAGTTCTCATCTTCCCACTCCCCAGCTACTCTGCATACTAAAGTTGTACTACCAAGTCGCCAATTGAGCAGCGCCGTAAACCTCCCTTTACATTTGTATTAAGAGCTTGGTCATAAGGAGGGTTGGCGTAAGCAAAAGTCTGCTGCGCGTAAGGTTGCGTAAGGTTTTTTCAACATAATCAGCGGCGTAAGGGCCAACCAATGAACACAAGTTGTTTTTATGAACCAAGGAATGATCATACATTTCTTGATCTTTGAATATGTTTCTTTTTGTTGCAGCATCCATGCAAACACCACAGGAATAGTTGTTGAGCAGTGTCCTTTGCACAGAGTTTCTTCAATACCGCAGCTGTTTGGCACAAGTCTGTGGCAGTCTGTGGCACGATGAGTGTCACATGGGAATCTCGATCAAATGGGTATCGTGGTAAGCCTGATGGGCTACCTTCTCAAATCTTCAAAGCCGATGGTCTTTCAGCAGAGGCAAAAGCAGCTGCCAAAGCTAAGGCTCAACGGTATGCTGGGATTCTTGAAAAGCAGATGAATGATGCGCCCAGGGCTTCAATTAGTAAGTTTTATGTGGTGAGTTGTAACATGTTGTAATTGTTTTCTTCTTTGCTATGCAGGGGCCATGCCTGGTTTGAGAAAAGCCACGAGGCAGTTCCAACAAGCACGAATCAGAAGGAGAATGGCCAGAACACCAATGTCACTAGTGCCAACAGCGGGAAAGTTCAGGATGTGACCCTCCTAGCTCTTGCTGCGCCTACACTTCAGTGTGCTAGTGCTTCTGGATGCGTATCACTGACCCAGACCACAGTGGAGAAAAGTGCCATGGCCCATTTTAGAATGCTTTTTGGAATAGGCTTGTCATAGCAGCTTCGGATTTAGGTTTGTTGTAGTTGTAGTCTGCCTTGATCAAAAGCAGCAAGGCACGCCTGCAGCCCCATCTGGAGAGGAAGAGAAGCCGTCCAAGGGAGAGGAACATGTAGCTTCGAAGAGTTCTCAGACTCCGACTACACCTGGGAATGAGCAGAGCCTTTCAGCTCCACCTTCAAAGGCTGCAAAGGCCACTCCCACCAAAGCCATGACCAAAGTCAAAAAGACGCACCCCAAACGGCAAGGAGGGTTGGAAACTCCGGAGAAGGACAAGGAGAAGAAGCCTCTTCCAGAAGGATGTGGCGGTCGTACCCAAAGAACTTTGGAATGCGTGCTTTGCCAACGGCCCCGGGACAAAGCCCAAAGAGGCGCTGGGTGTCCGACCTGCTTGAACTTGATGAGGAAGAAAGGTGAGCGATCCATCCAGAAAGTGCTTTCGGATAGTGCCTTGCACGAGCAAATTCGGGGTGAGTCCTTGAAGGAGAAACCTTTAGAGGACCCAGACAAAGATTTGAAAGACAC